TAGTGTCCCCTTGTTCTGTTCGAATGACAGCCTCCTGGTCAAGGTACAGATTCCTCATGAGTACAATCAAGTGCTCGGGAATTCCCATTCTTCTCAATATATATACATACATATATGAGCTTTACTGGTTTTGCTTCTCTAGAGAACCCAGCCTAATACACATTGTGATATTACTATAGGCCAACATTTCTTTTCCTTTCAAAACACTATTATTAAGATAATGTTGTTGTTGTTGTGTACCACTGAGTCAATTCCAGCTCAGCAACCTTTTTTTTTTTAAAAAAAAAATCATCTTTGGAGTCATCATTGTGATCAGAAACCTGGGAAGTAAATAAAATCATCAGTTACATAGGTTTTTTTCAATGTATGCTATTTTTGAAGGAAGTAATCTACATTTAAAATAAAACAGCTAATTTAACCCAGGATTTAAAAAGAAAAATACAAGAGATACATACAAGAGAAACAATACACTAATTGGTTTCCCACAGTTACTTTTTTTTTTAAGACAGAATAAACATTCATTGAGCACCTACTATGTTCCGGACACTATGCTAGATGTTTTCCCATCCATTATATCATTGGATTCTCACCCTAAAAAACAGGCTATGTTATTACTCCCATTTAACAGTTATTGAAGGTGAGATAGAGAAAGATGAAATTAAGACGTAAACAGCATCTTAAGTTAGTAACTAGTAGAAGCAAGATTTCTACCTGCATTAGTTCAGTTTCCTGGGACAGTTGTGACAAATTACATCAAACTGGGTGGCTTTAAATAACAGAAGTTTATTCTCTAACCATTGAGGAAGCCAGTAGTCCAAAATCAAGATGCCAGAAGACTTGGTTCCTTCTGGAGGCTTTGAGGGACAACACGTTCCATGCCTCTCTCCTAGTTTCTGGTGTTTATCAACAATCCTTGGCATTCTTTGGTTTGTAGATGCATCAATCTAGTCTCTGTTTCCAACTTCAAATCATTTTCTTCTCTCTGTTTTTCTGTCCTTTTCTGTCTCTTAGAAGGATACTTTCATTGGATTTAGGGCACAGCCTAAATCTAAGGTGGTTTCATCTCTAGATCCTTAACTATACACCTTCAACGACCTTTTTCCAAATAAGGTCACATTCTGAGCCTGCAGGTGGACATGAATTTTGGAGGAAATTCTTCAACCCAGTATTCAACCCAAATCTGTACTTCTTTAAAACCTATATGGTGTCCATTGCACCACACGTCTTTCTGTCCAAAACTAAGTGCTCCGAACTCTGCTCTTAGAGATACTCCCTCTTGACCACTGTCACACACATTCACTGATATGGTTAAATATTCAAGTTCTCCTCTACTATCCTCCTCTTGTCAATCATTCAAAATAAAAAATCAAATTTGTTCTCATCAACCAGAGATCTCCTCTTTCCTCTGTCCCATCACGACTTCTACATCCCCCTGCATTCTGTCCTCTCATTACATTATTCTCTTTAGTCTCTCCTCACCCTCCACTACTCTGCCTACTGCAACTACTCTCAAATATCCTGAGTGATCAGAGCCAGCATTTGGATACTTCCTCTCTCTCTCTCTCTCTCTCTCTCACATACACATACACACACATACAAACACACACATTCTTTTCTATTTCATTTCATGGCCAGTTAAAGAAAATACATATCTGAGACAAGTGGAAACAGACTAGGGGAGAGGCATCAAGTATAAATATGTATGAATAAAATGAAATTAAGTCTCAAGGCAAGGAGGCAGTAAGAGTGTAAGGTGAGACATTAGAAGAAGGAATTCTTGTTTTGGTCCTTGCTTCTGTTTTATCCTATATTGTTGTGGTTGTTAGGTGGCATTGAATCAGGTCTGACTCATAGCGACCCTTTGTACAACAAAACTTAACACTGCCTAGTCCTGTGCCAGCCTCACAATCCTTGATATACCTGAGCTCATTGTTGCAGCCACTGTGGCAATTCATCTCATTGAGGACCCTCCCCTTTTTCATTGACCCTCCACTTTACCAAGCATGATATCCTTCTCCAGTGAGTAGTCGCTTCTGACAACATGACTAAAGTAGGTGAGACAAAGTCTGGCCATTCTCACTTCCAAGGAACATTCCAGCTCTACTTCTTCCAGGACAGATTTGTGAGTTCTTCTGGCAGTCCATGGGACTTTCCGTATTCTTCACGAACACCACAGCTCAAAAGCATCAAATCTTCTTCAGCCTTCCTTGTTCATTGCCCAGCTTTCACATGCAAATTAGATGATTGAAAACACCCTGGCTTGGGTTAGGCACACCTTAGTCTTCAAAGCAACATCGTTGCTCTTCAACACTTCAAAGAGGTCTTTTGCAGCAGATTTGCCCAGTGCAATAGTTGTATGATTTCTTAACTGCTGTTTCCACTGTTATTGAATGTGGAACCAAGTAATCTGAAATCTTTGACAACTTTAATCTTTTCTCCATTATTTGCTTATTTGTCTTGTTGTGAAGATCTTCATTTTCTTTATGTTGAGGTGTAATCCATACTGCAGACTGTAGTCTTTAATCTTCATCACTAAGGGCTTCAAGTCATCCTCACTTTCAGCAAGCCAAATTGTGTCATCTGCATATCGCAGGTTGTTAATAAGTCTTCCTCCAATCCCATCTTCTTCATATAGTCCATCTTCTCAGATTATTTGCTCAGCATACAGATTGAATAAGTATGCTGAAAGAGTACAACCCTGACACACTCCCTTCCTGACTTTAAACCATGCAGTATCCCCTTGTTCTGTTTGAATGACAGCCCCCTGGTCTATGCACAGGTTCCTCGTGAGCACAATTAACTTCTGGAATTTCCATTCATTTCAATGTTATCCATAATTTGTCATGATCCACACAATTGAATGACTTTGCATGGTCAATAAAACACAAGTAAGTATCTTTCTGGTGTTCTTTACTTTCAGCCAAGATTCATCAGGAATGATATCCCTTGTTCCACATTCTCTTCTGATTCCTGCTTGCATTTCTGGATGTTCTCTGTCAATATACTTCTGGAATTGTTTTTGAATTGTCCTCAGCAAGAATTTACTTGCATGTAATATTAATGATATTGTTTGATAATTTCCACATTCTGTGGGATCATCTTTCTTTGGAGTGGGTGCTAATATCAATCTCTTCTATTCAGCTGGCCAGGTTACTGTCTTCTAAATTTCTTGGCATAGACAGTAAGTGCCTCCACTGAGGCAGCATTTGTTAAAATATCTCAATGGGTATTCCACCAGTTGCTGGAGCCTTGTTTTTCACCAATTCCTTCAGTGCAACTTTGAG